CTTGTGTGCGTGCATTGAGGTTTTGATGGAACTGTTCCAGTGATTCTTTTCCGTGTGTCCAGATCATAAAAATGTCATCAATGTAGCGTACATACAGTAGGGGTTGTAGGGTTTGACTTTGGAGAAATTGCTGCTGGGGGTCTGCCATGAATAGGTTAGCATATTGAGGGGCCATTCGTGTTCCCATGGCAGTACCGCTGGTTTGAAGCTTGCATGTGGTAAATTTGGGATTTGCATTGGAAGTACAGGCACTATTGGAGTTGGGATGAACTTTAGGAGATCATTTTCCTTTTTTTATTTTGGTTATTGTGATTACGTTGATGTATTTTAAGAATGTTCTTTGTATTTGAAGAATTTTGTTATTTGTATTTGACTCTTACATGTACCTATGGTGAGCTGGTGCTTTTCAATCTTTGATTGCCACATCTTGTCTTAAGAATAAACCATTTATCTATACATCTGTCTGTCTATCTTCTTCAACTGACGTGCTCAATTTACCTCTGCTTACGTTAGATAGCATTTCATATCAAGTTGGTCAGTATTGTTGCAATGCCAGTTGGTATTGATATCTGTTTTTAACAAAATATAGCAGCTACCTGTACACAGCATCACCGAAAAACTGCCAACCCGGGGATGGAAAAATCCCCAAATCCACAAATCGTGGAAATGCAACAATGAAGAGAGCTGGACCTTTTCAAACACTATGAGATAATATTTATTAAAATGCAATACAGTCAGCACGCAGCAACCACAAAAGCCCTTCCATTCATTTGCCCCGTATAAGCTGCATAGGTAGTGAAATTTTAGAAATTGTGTATTACCTTGTTTTGCTTTAAGAAATGTACTTTTTTAATAAATGGGAAACTAAGATCTCATGTTTTTGTAGATGTAGTACATGTATGTCATGAAATGTTAGAAATAAGAATTGGGTCTTTTTATTTGAAAAATTGGCCACATGAAAAACAGGTTTTCAATGATCAAAATCTGGACCAGCAGAACTTTATTTAAATCAGTGATATAGGTAAATTACATCTTCGTCCCAAAATCAAGTTTTGGATTTTTCTACTGATGCAAATGGTCAGGGTGCACTAAAAATATTTTGCTTTTGCACATTCATACTTTGTAAAATCAACCATAAATATTGCCTTTTATTTCATCAAAGACTCTCCATGATTGGTTGATTAGCACATTATCTCTCCTTAATTTAACAGCTAATCAAACGCAACAAGAGAAATATGCAATTGACGGGACCTCCATCAGAAACCCAGCCTCTGTGTACAGAAACAGGATGTCTGTCGTCAGCTTCCAGAACCAGACCAGCTATCCATCTTACCATGCATGAAGGAAGATCATACATGTAGGATGGTTTAAAAGAAATAGACAAAGCCTTCATCTTTTTTTTGGTTGAAATAAAAATGTTCAACTGCCATGATCAAAAGCGTGATTTCTCATTGTGCGTGTGAACAAATCTGCATGTAAACTAGCTGTAGGCTGACATCACACTTTTGCAAAATCTACTTGTGACGGTTGGAAATTTGTTCAAGGTTTGATAAGAGAAAAAAACCACACCGATTACCCAGGCAGGAAACAGTTTGATATCAAAGTTTAATCTTTTCCATGAACAATTGTATATTATATTTATATTTTATTGTATATTTTTTGCGAAACAGTCAGGTACACTGAATAAAACAAGGCCTTCTGATTCTTGTACAAAACATGAAGTGTTGCTCTCAATCATCAAAAATCATCCCAAATTGCCTCAATTTCACTTCATTGGGAGTTTGACTCGTCCAGATTCTACTCACCACGCCTTTTTGGCCCATGAAAGAAGCAACCAGTTTCCTGTCTCTTTGAAGAGGAACTTGTAATCTCGTTTTAACTTGCAAAATCACATGCATTTGCGAGAGCATTGTCCCATGCAAATGGAATTGCCAATAAGGCTCATTAGCAGGCAGGCATGTTGTAGAGTTGCATTTTAGCCCTCCTTCTGGCTATTATGATATTGGCATTATTACAAAATTGATTTACATTTCAATTCTTGACTCGGGTCTCTCATTGTTCTTTCTCCCATTATCCCCAATTAAAAAGGGGAGGACAGTTTGTTCCCCCCCCCACAAAAATCTACACCCTCGACAAGATCATGCCCTAAATTAATCTGTTTGACTGCACAAAACAGGGGTGAAACTTTTCTAATATAGCAAAATACTCACTTGTTTGGCTATTAACATCATACACTGCCATGCAGTAATCAGTTCGATATCTGTCAAAACCAGCAGCTAGCTGTAAATGAAAATATTTTAAAGCAGAAAAATTCTTGAAAAGTATTTATTTTCAATAAAAGCTTCAAGTGCAACAGTTTATTTGGCATGTGAATTAAACTGTATACTTATCAACAACTTTACTAAAATGTATACCAGACACATCACTATAACACCCTTTTGGCTAACCTTTCAAATGACTATTCTCAATGTTTGGTGAGCATAGACACACAACAAACACGTGAACAGTACCTCTGCACTGACTATACTCAAATGATTTAGCTCCATGTACATGTAACTATGAAGTGGGGCAAAGCCGATTACAACTCGAGTCCCAAATTTACTATCAGATTTCCAGGTTTCTAACCCCCCTCTTCTCCCATTTCCAAGATCAAATACCATGTTGTGGATGTGCATGAATTCTGCATTAGTAACCACTTGGAGATGGTTTTATTCCAGACCAAACCCAACTATTATTGGTTTAAAATACTTTTTAAAATGACAAAGAAAAGAGTTCCATATACAATGTACGGACAACACTTGATGCCCTGTGCACAAACCTACAAGACTTGTCTGAAGAAACCTAAATCCTTTTCAACCCTTCATATCACCAAATGCTACAAACTACTACTTAGGAGTAAAATGAAGGACACATTAAAATGATATACTGTAACGAAAGTATTCTTTGGCACTCCATAGTTCTGTTTGACTTGGTGGGCCATACATCTTGTGGTGCGTGCTATTTATAGAAACTTGTTTATACATGTAAAGCATGCACACCGAGAGTTGGGCGACTAAGCTTCAGTACACTTCAACTGGGGCAAGCTGAAGCCACAGACATGTTAGTGTCTAGCTCGTATTTTAAATTGCTATTGAGATTGTTTAAGTACTGGTTAATTTTGTTAAGCTTGTTTTGTTATTTCTTCAAGTATAGAACAATTCAGATCCTTCATTACTCTCTGATCAAGACTCGTATGTCTTATCTACAATTGCGATTTGAAGACTTAGCGTCGAATGTCAACATAGGCTGGTTATTGTTCATTTGGAACTTACCCAAAGACTCTTAGTACATGTATAAGGATATTTGTAGGATTCCCTGACTATTAAGCCTGCCAAATCTGTTAGTCAAGTTGTGTTTGGAGAAAATATGGTTACAGAGTAGGTTTTGTTGACATTTCGTCATCTTCGGAATTCCCTTCCCCTAAGGAATCTAATCCCCTTAAGGAATTCAATTCCCTTAAGGAATTCCCTTTCCTTGAACCCCTTTCCAACTTATTACCCTTAATCCTGAGGACTGACAACTCCCTACTGGTCAGGAGGGCCCAACTCTTAGGAAGATCTATATATGCCTTCAGGAGAACCAAGGAGGGTTGTCGCAGGAATTCAATTCCTTTAAGTTATTCCCTTCCCTTGAGGAATCCGATCCCCTTAGGAGTCCCTTTATCCCTTGAAACCCTGTCTAACTCATTATTCCTTAAATCCTGAGGACTGACAACTGCTTCACTGGTCGGGAGGGTGGAGCTCTAAGGAGGATTGATATCTGCCTTCAGGAGAACCAACGAGGGTCATCTATTCCCCTTCCCTTAACCACTTCCTGTCGGGGATTCCAGATCGGGAGACGTATGCTTTATATGTGTGGCTGGGGTCTCCGAACTCGGACAAAGGGATCAGGGCCCTGTAACAACCATACTTTGAACAAAAGACCGGGCTGCTGGGCATTACTGACATTTTTCACTCAAAAGTGGAGATAATCTAGCCTTGTTTTGAAACAGTGTACCACGGTTTGGGGCCTTTAGAGCGAGTGGATTACCACCGGGGACAAAAGCGTTTCACCACCAGCGATAAGCCACACAGCACCGCTGCACGCTTTCTTGAACAAAAGAAAGTTAGATAACACTGCACAATCTGGGCTCTTTTTACAAGGTTGCAGGCCTGGCTGAAATACTCAGGCGTCAATAGATTTTGTCTGTCATGCTAGAGTGGAGACCAGACAGGTCTTTGCGTGGGTGTACATGTAAGTGTCCAGTAAATGAAGATAGGAATTTTTAAAGAATTTTGAAAACAGAAAAAAATGATAAATTTCCCCGACCAGCATCATCAACATTGATACCTGCACCCGGCAGCAAGCGGTTCAGGAATTCCCTTTCCTTAACCCCTTTATGCCGGGATTCTTTTGACCGCGACTGCTGATCTGCAGTATGCCTAGTATGCAAAGCTCTGTCCAGCAGCATGCCCTATTGAAACCACAGCTGCATGATTCACTACTCCTCACACAAAGCCGCGGCAGGCGACAGTTCCCAGTATGAAGGCATAAAGGAACCTCTTTCCCTTGGGAAATCCATTTTGTTTTAGGAACTCCTTTCCATTTGCTCTTCAGCCCTAATAGATCATTAATTAAGGTCAACCAAGTCTAATTAAAAAGGAATAAAAGAGATTTACTCAGAAGAGTAGGTGTGCCTGTTATTTATGTAGTACATGTAGTTGTCAGTCCATGTCTATCCTGTACATTGTCCGTTTTGGAAACAGTGTTACGTGCGGCAACAGACAGTCTCCAAACGAATTATCGCCCTAGGACCCTCTGGACTGCCGAACATATTCTTACAGATTGTCACGGTCTTCAAAACAGAGCCCGGGTTTTGTCACAATACCATAAAGCCATGAAATACAATAGATAACACAATGTACCACACAGTTCCGTAGCACTATGAATGCATTGTTCTCTGTATGAGTAAACAATGGAAGTGACCCAGCCACAAGTAGTAATTTGTAGCACTAGGTCCTTCAGGTTCAGACTAGTACAGTACGTAGTCTTTTGTAGTCCTGTACTGAGTCCTGTACCCCAGGTTATATGCCAAGGGGTAAGGTTAACCCCTTCACAGCGGGATTATTTTGACTGCGACTGCTGGGCTGTGGTATGCCCTGAATGGAGGGCTTTGTCCAGCAGCAGGTCCTATTGAACCAGCAGCTGCATGGTGAATAGACTCTATGTGTGGTATGTACTAATTCTCACACAACGGTGCGGTAGTAGCAGTCCACCGTAGCGAAGGGGTTAAGCAAATGCTCCAGAATTTTCTTAGCTAAATATCATGAAGTTGGACTTTATAAATGTTAACCATCATTTTATCCAAGATTTGTGCAATTATCTGCTTCATTTTCCATCGCGCTGTCATTTTTCACACTTTGGTCACTTTTGAGCGATACATATGGTACATTATATTTGCTATAATGCCCGGCCATGACTATGGACAAGTCAGGGCACGAATGCAGACTAGTTCAAGGCTCTAAAGCAAATCGATTAACTGAAACGTGAAGATGAGTATTCATGCCATTCGAGAGTAATAACCACCCATCTTTATATTTCAAATTCTCAACTTGATCAGGTTGCGAATGTTAAGTTGGGCAGTACCTTTCAAGATAATCTGAAGTAGAACTTGCACTTTGCTAAATTAAGATGAAAGATAAAGCAAATAGAGGCTTATTTAATGTTCATGCTCCGAAAATTGAAAGAAATTGGTTTCAGTCAGAGCTTGTTGCTGCCTACACAGGTGACATGTTTGTAATACAGGGACATCAGTCCTCGAAACTACAATGCCACTTTGGCCTTCAAGTACACTTCAACCGAACAAACTGAATTAATCCAAAACAAGTTTGCCATATTATTCTAGGAAGCCAATACAATAATAACAAACATCTATTTACGTCAAAATGTCTCTCTCTGCAACCTTCTCTTTCAATTCTTTAAAATCAGGCAACTTTGATGACTGGTCCGATTGTTACTCCCATTGGTTCAGTTGGGGGAAGGCATTTTTAGTGGGAAAGTGACAAGCACAACTTCAGTTTTTGCTAGATATGCATGTACATGTACTATCGTAATGGCCAGTACAGTTATTTCAATTATCTTAGAGTTAGTACATTGCCAGAAATGTTTGTTTAACAGGCACAACAATGGCACCCTGGAGGTTCACCATATATAGGTAGCTCTTAGTATTAAGCAGGGGAACTCTTTCTGTCTCAATGTTTAACAGTTCAGTGTTGTTTTTTCATTACAGGTTCCTTAATTGCTTTTACAATGAAATTTCAAATATCAGAGGGTCTGTGCCCTGGTTTTGCCAATTTAGGTGATTGAGGTATACTCCAGCATGGGTATCATTGTAGAGACCTATATGACAAGGTCTTGTGTAAACCCCCAATTCATAGTCTGGTATGCCCTGGGAGCATGCACGATGGGCCTGGTGTGTCCTATTTCACGGTTTGGTGTGCATGTGCACACATAATAGTGGGTCTGGTGTGCCCGACATGTACCGGTATATCATGGCTGGGACTGGTGAGCAAAGGGGATGGACCCAATGAGAATGCATTTTGCCAGTTTGCCCTCATACACACTAGTACATGTATCTGGCAATATTTTTAACCCTAACAGTCCCAAATCCTCCAATTCAATGTGATTTTACATACACCCTTGGGGGTTAGGGTTAAACAATAAAGCAACAGCTGAGGCAAGAGTTATGAACTTAACTTTTTGTCTCTCTGTACACTCATTTGAGTCTGAGATAAGTGAATTAAGTGATATCATGTTTATTATTTTACATGCAATTATGCGCGCACATTGATATTGAAGTATACATGTTTGCATTTTATGCCTATTTTCCATTTTTGCAAAACAGTACCCAACTACTGTACATGTAACTTGAAATGAAGCAGACATGGATTATAATGTAAATAAGATATTCTTTGTTTACATTTGTATATTTCATGCATGAAATCTGCATATAATCATACACTCTATCATGTCTATATGCATTATGTTTTTCATTGCTTTTCATTCCTTTACATTTTATCGTTTGACTTTTTCATAAGCTGTTAAACCTGATGGACTAGGCTAAATTTCATGGCACTACTTAACATGATTTCACGCTAACAGACACTCCACATACATGTACCTATTTCATGGAGACCGTAAGCAGTAAGCACAACCAAAGACATGCAAACGTTGGAGGAAAAATTTGCTTCAATTTAGTGCCATAACAATAAAAATCTCTGTGCGTGCAACCGTTAAAACAACCACGTCACGCACCACCATGAAATAGTGCTTAAGGTTGGCAAAGTTTTCTGCTAAAGTTAGCACAATTTTCTGCTAACTGTTCAGCAGCTCAGTGAAATTGGGCCCTGATACTCACAATAAGGAATACATATAACGTGATAGAAAAAGAATGTATCTCAACAAACTTGCACGATACATTCATTCATACACAAGTGCATGAAAAAATTTAGTTTTAGGATGATGACCCTTGGCCCTTAATTGCCATTTGACATGAAAATGCTTTGTACAACTTTTGCAAATTTGGTATTTAAGTTGTGCAAGACTTCAACTCACGAAAGGACAACTTGATATTTGAAGCAGTTTGAGAGAAGCGGGCAGACTTTCCATGGGAGGTCAAATTGCCCTCCCCCAAGTCAAGTAGGGTAACAAGTAACACAGTTAGCATCTGTGTACTGAAAGTTTGCATAGTGTTGGCAACATCTGGAAAGATTTCATCTCAGTTACAACTGTGTCTTTAAAAGAACCTATTATACCAACATTTGGCAAAGGTTTCAATGCTGGAAAGCATGTCACATAAAAACATATTCATCCACACAAAAGCTTCATAATTTTACCCAAGGCAAAACAGCATTAATGCCGACATTGAGAAGGCAGCTCAAATGCGCCTTGGGTATGGACAAAGAATTTTTCTCAGTAGGTTCTTCTAAGGCTTCTGTAGATTGTAGAGTACAGCCAAGCATACATCATGTACTAGTCATAAGCTGCTTAAATACCTACCCATTTAGATTCTACTGTATTCCAAGCCAGACAGGTGCACATCTTAGTGTGTTTGAGAGGAAATTCCTTTCCTACTAACCCAGCCTGAGTCACACTGGAATCTACACAGAAGCCTGACAGAATGACTTTGCCACTTGACAGACCCAATGCAATAACATCATCAGATGACTGCTTGGGGTACCATGCAAAACACTGCAATAAAAGAAAAATAACTTCCCACAGCATGTTGGTACGAAAAGGTTCTTGTTCAATAACAAGATTTCAAATGAATTGAATTAACCACTTCCTGCCAGGCGAGGCGTTTTCGAGTACCTAGGCTTTATACATGAAACTGGGACCCCTGAAACTGGGAAAAAAGAGTTGGGCCTTGTAACAAAAGACTGTGCTCGGCACAAAAGACTGAGCTGACTGGGCATTACCAACATTTTTTCACTCTCAATAGTGGAGATAATCCAGCCTTGTTTTGATACAGTACACCAGGGTTTGGGGCATTTAAAGTGAGTGGATTACCACAGGTGGGACAAAAGCGCTCTACCACTGAAGTAATGAGCCTCACAGCATGGCTGCATGCTAATCTGGCCCCATTGAAAAGAGATCAGCAGCACACTGTTCAGTTTCTGGAACAAAAGAATCATAACAATCTGGGCTCTTTTTACAAGGCTGCAGGCCTGGCTGAAAAACTCTGGCATCAATGAAGGCCACCTGTCCGCTTAGAGTAGTGCCCAAAGAGTCCTCCCTCTGTATTTAAACGTCCATTAAATGAAATGATGAATTTTTGAAGAATTTTGAAAACTGAAAATCTTGAAAAATGCTCGGTATGTGTGCACTTCATTTTTATAAGCACCCGGCAGCAAGTGGTTAATGCATTTCCGCTTTAAAATATTTAAATGACTGCTAGCATTTATTATGCAAGTATGTAAATGTACATATATGTACATGTTAACAAATCTATTTGAAAAAAAATTAAACTTGAGCAGTATAAATGCACCGCATTACACCTACATACTGTGTACAGGCAATCAAAAAACTCTCATACAAAAATGGACTAAAATCTTATTAAGAAAACCATGTGAATGTCACAAGGAAAAGAGAAAAAGTGGTGTACAAAATAAGCGGGGCAACCTGAGGAAAAGAAACACAATTTCAACAGTTCCATTTTATGGTACATGTACCGGTATGTAGCAGTAGCACATAAACTTTACACAAGAAGGAGAGGATTTACAGCCCCATGTACAATGTTCATTTTCCTTGAGCGCTGGGGGCAGAATCCGGCCCTTCAATATTCCTCCCGATACCACTGCAGTGCTTTTTTTTTTCAGAAGTTGAGCCTCTAAGAGTTTTTCGAGTACCTTTTTGCAGTCACTTTGACACCAATTTTGTGAAAATTGGACGTACGTTGTACCATTTTTATGCAACACCCAGGTGACCAAAAAATGTATACTTTTTCCACTGCGGAAGTCAATGTTCACAGGCCGGCACACATATAGCCTTAAACTTCAAATGACCATATGTGTGACTGAGTTCAAACATTAGTATTCATATTCATGAGGAACGTACATGGCATGCCACAACTGAGTTGGGGGGGGGACAGAATCCTCGACTGTAGGGTACACCAAAAAGCCCAACTCTTTGAGGATTAACTGGGAAAAAGTCATGTACATGTACTTGTACTAAGTCTTCATCATACATGTACATGCACACCCCTAGGTCCTGAATTTACTGGCTACAAAGTTGAGATTGCTGATTGAAAACTGAAGTTCAAACCAAGAACCTGGGATCTTTCTGGCCAAAAAAATGGGTATTGTTAAAAACAATTACATGCACATGTAATTCCAAAGTTCCAAACTACTGTCGTCTACAAGTGTTGAGTGCAATACAAGCATGACGCACAGTAATACCGCCGCATGTCTTCTCTTTTTTTGTTTCCATTGATATTTACTGTACTTGGCAATCTTGGTCCCTCTAAAGGCTCTGGTCTTGAAACTTCTGGTCTCGGTCTAGGTCTCGGTCTCAGTCTAAAAACTTCTGGTCTCAGTCCAGGGGTGGCAGCAAGTCATATTTACAAGTCCAAGTCAAGTCACAAGTCAATATATGCAAGTCAAAGTAAAGTCACAAGTCATTTGGACACAGGGCAAGTCAAGTCAAGTCACAAGTCATTAGGTCCAGCCATAAGTCAAGTCACACATCATTTGGTCATGAAGCAAGTCAAGTCACAAGTCATTTGGTCTAAACACATGTCAACTCACAAGTCTCTTTGTCCAAGTACAAGTCAAGCTGCGCATTATTTTGTCCAGCTGGCGCCAACTTACGAAGTTACGAGTTATAAAAATATATGGGGCCGGTTGAGTAGCGTCCGACTTGGGTTGGCAACAAGTCAACTTTTTGCAAGTCCAAGTCAAGTCACAAGTCAAAGCTAGTACATGCACATTTATCTTCAACTTACAAGTCAAGTCACAAAAATAGTGACTCGAGTCTGACTCGAGTCCAAGTCACATGACTCAAGTCAGCAATTCTGTCTCGCTTTGGTCTCAAAACTTCTAGTCTTTATCTCTGACTGACCATCTGTAAAGTTACAGTTCACATGGATACACAGTTTTGATGACACACTCACTTTTTAATTTATTATTTCAGCTTCATGGCCTGAAGTGTGTCGGTTAGTGTAAATTAAGCATGTCAGTGGGAAAAGTGTAAATATTTGGTACAGCTGTACTGGAAGAAAGGGATCATTTGAAAGAGCGGTATGTCCAATTTTCACAAAATTAATTTGAAAAGGACTGCAAGACATTCTGAAAAGAAAATCCTGAAGGTCTGGCATAAAAAATTACAGAGTCAATATAAAGCAATTACCCCCCCCCCCATTTTTTTACCGGTAGGATGAAAGGCTTTTACGCTGAAAGAAACCCAATTTAGCCGCGCAAAGATGCAAAAAAGTGGTTCTTGCAACAAAAACTACAGAGGAGTGTGATTTTTTCCTTTTCTTTCAGGGGCCAATGTCTCTATTGGTGATACATGTACATGTATCAAAATGAAGAAATCTCACATACATGTATGCAAAATGTACTTTCATGCATGTGTACCTGTACACTTTACATGTGTAAGGTTTCTTTGGTGGATTCTGCTCAGTCTTCCACAAGCAAGATAAAGTCTTACCCTTATAAGCTGTAGGTCTCCTTTAGACCTGACATGTAAGTCTGCCTTAGAGGCTTGTAATCTTGCATAAAAGTGACTGTCTTGACTGATTTGTTGACACTGAGCTCCTGATGATGGTATTTCAGATTCCACTGCATACAGATTTAAATCGTAACGATCTGAACTAAATGCCAGAAAGACATCCGGATCTGAGGGGGACCACTCTAGTTCCCACTTGCCAGCTGTAGGAAAACAAAGCAACATTTCAAACATTAAAAAACAATCATGATCCTTTTTATAACAAAACAAATACATTTCTTTGAGAAATTCTAAGCCAATCAGCAATGCTCAATTCCCATTTCAATGTAACACTAGTAACACACTGCATACATACATGTACATGACATGTATGTACATGTACCATATACACTAAGACTCCACATTAGTGCTCCAAGTAGGTGTCATGGTTCAGTTTCGACATGGTTCGGAATTTTTTTGCCAAACTTTGGTTCAGTTCGGGTTCGGACATGTACAATGTACATTAGGCTTGGTGAGCTCAGTGGCACCAGCGTGATGCGTGCTTCATGGCAGTGACAGATTTTTAATGTGTTTTATTAAACCTTGTGTTTTTTCTTTATATCTTTGGGAGCCGGTTCTAACTCGGAATCGTGGTCCTTAGCTGGAGCCGGAACCAGCTCTGAGAATTCTGGAATCGCCCTACACTAATGTACATAATGCGCATTGAGACGTTGAAGAGCACAGTTCAAACAAATGTGCCGTTTATATTACTTCCATGTGTAAAATACATGTACATTAATTCAAGCAATGAATCTCCTCTTCATTCATATCCACGAGCAAATTCAATGTGAACACTAGAGGTGGTGTTTGTGAACAAACACATAGCTGTTCCCAAATGTTTTTATTGTCTTTTGTTGACTGTCAACGAGTATCATAAGTTTGCAATCAATTGAATTACAAATAATTGCAACAGTGGCATGTACATGTATAAGTAAAAACAAATTATCACTGCAATTGAACCTATAGTGCATGAGATATGACGATTTGTGTGTTAAATACAACTTCCGATCAAACCAGAAGTAGAGGATACATGAGGTCAAGATATCAATTTCCATCTATAACACGTCCCTGAGTATGTGCATACCAAATTTGAGTTAAATCAGTCAAATAGTTTACTAGTTACTACAATGTATAAAATAAACTTTTGAATTGAGGTCACATGAGCCCTGATAACGTCACAATCACAAAAATGTTTCAAGACACATCTTCTAATGATGCTTAATTACTATACCAAGTCTGAATCATGAGTTGATTGCAAAATCACCAAATTTGGAGTTTTTGTCATACTTTTTCTGGTCGGGGCAGCTCTTTAATTGGAAGTAGGCCTGTATTAAACAACAATCATCATAGTTAAATTTACTAGCATTTTAATCAATGATTTCAAAGTTTGTAGCCGTTGGACAGACGGTATTGTGAGCGCTGAGGTTTTGATGTGGCAAAGGACGAGTGAACCACCTGTCGAATCACTGATCTATGTGTCATATTGATGTTCACTCGTATGAGGGTGTTGGGCGACAAGCGGAATAATTATGTACATTACGCCCTCTACCTGCAACAAGTGTATTGGCCTCAAATAGTATGGTTCTGCTGCAGGCTGGTGAAATAGCATCTGCTTTACATGTGAAGGTTTGGGAGCAAGATGTATGCAAATACTGTACATGTATTAATGTAATATAAACGGGGAAGGTACATACGTGTACATGGGGGCAGGTGGAAATATTACTGTGAAACAATGTTTGTCTGGTTGTACTTTTTGGGGGGGCATAATAATGAAGCAGTAAAGTATTGAAAATGTGTTGGTAGTATTGAGAGAGTAATTTGAGCTTTGTTGAGGTATAGGGTCGATCAGGGCTGTCCGTGTAGGCCTACACACGGGATTACAAATGTAAACGATTAAGGGTCTATACGTTAGTAGACTATGCATAGGGCTGACATCAGTCTGAGTAACTCGGACCTTAATATCGCTGTTTGTGTGTAACATCTGGACGCGGTTGGGCAATAGGATACAAGGTACATGTACCTGTCATTGCCAACCGTATCATTTGCTATAAGCAAGCCAAAATCCTCAGAATTCACATCCAAAACTATCTCAAAATTATCTCATGAACCATAGCTAAGGTCTCACATATGCTGATAATGAAAAGTTTTTACTTTGTGAAAAAGCGAGACATTTCGGCAGACCTCCTGTCCAAGAGCTGTAAGCTCTTACTTAGGTTTAACGTTAGTTTATTTCAATTTTGGCCATAAATAGCAATTACATATGCTTGCCAACTATAGTCCAGTTCCTGGATGAAAGATTTTGACTATCTCTGATATTGGAGGTTTGGGAACCAGACTATACTCAGCAAGACAGTTAAATTTATTTACATGCTGAAATTCTACTTTTTGGTAGCATTGTGAATAAAATATGCCAAATAGTTTTAAATACAAAGTCATGGTGATTCCACTGTTGTGTGTGTGTTGGGTATTTACATTTTGGTCCATGCAATGTATTAAAAATAATCTTTGTGAAGGTTTACAAACTAATATTCAGCTTTGGTTTGCATAAACTAGAACATCAATATTGCTGGTTTTTAGAAAATTGGTTAGGCTGTTGAATTTTTCTTTTTTAAGGGGGGGTGATGAAGAATGTGAAATGTTCAGACAAAATTAGTTACTGAATTGAAGTGTTTATGCCACTTTTATAACATTGTAATCAGGAGGAATGATCTAAGGAGACAGTGAAATAGGTTGAATACAAGGTATTGTGCGGTACCTTGTCTGAGTAGGGCATTTTTGTTTGTAAGTGCAATTTGTTGACAACAAGTGGGCAGATGACGGCAGTGTAGCTGTTGGGTATCATGTTTCTTTTTCTTTGTGATGTTACAAAAGGTCACTCAAAATGGAAAATTAAAGAAGATAGACTTGAGATCTACTGCCCTTACTCAGCTAGCTGTTGTTTGATTTAAAGAGTATCTTGTTTTTGATATGAATCTTTTTTGTTTTCTATAGAATACTACTAAAAAGTGACTCATTTCATTTCCCAATCATCCATGCCATCATTTCATTCCATTGCCTATGTGTCTATTCTCTCTTCATTATCATTCATCTCATCATCCTCTGTATGCGGGGCTCACCAGGCTGCTAATCCTGGCAGATTGTATGGAAGTGGGGCTCACCAGGCCACTTTAATTCCTGGCAGCAGTTACGAAAGCGGGGCTGACTAGGCTGCTAATCCTGGCAGAATGAATGAATATAATGAAGACAATTGTGAAGTTGACAGTATGACCAAAGATGAGAAACAAACATGTGAGCAAAAAGTTGAGCAAAGTGATGAATCTGTAATCATGTCATCATGGTATCAAGGATGAGGGCGTCAGTGACAAACTGATGGAAAAGAAGTGTCAAATAAAAATGGCAAGAAATTTGCAAAACGGAAAGAATACAAAAGACAGCTTGACATTGAAAGTACAGAAAATGAGAAGACGACGACAGCTGAAGTTGACAAGATCAGAGAGCTATGAGGACGTTGTATGGTTACCTGAAGATAAAACACTGTACAAGGAGTTGTAGAAGTGGTTGTCCACACAATGAGAATGAGAATAGCTCAAGAAAAAAGCCTCAGAAAAGTAGTAAAAAGAAACAAAGAAGAGAAATTTGCAAAGAATCATATAGTAGAACAAGAAATGGAATGAGAATTGAACTGAGGATGAGTAAGGAATAAAAAGAGACCATGAGAAAACATAAAAGAATGTATTCTGTAAGACTAAACGAAGTCTGTCATTTGTTCTGAGGAAGATGGAAGGTGCTAATGTAAAAAGCACAAGCAAGAAAAAACTAACCAGCAAAAGACATGGTGGACAAGATGTGAAAATTAATGTAAAAGACAGCTGTGGAATGAAAACAGCAAATGTGATGGAGACAATTGTGGATAAGAAATGTGGTAAGAGTACTTATTCTCAATCTCTTTTATTTGATATTGGTATTCCAACAGATGACAATGTTTTTGATATGGCTGTTCAGCAGATGTGTACACTGAAGCAGAGCTTTGTTGGAATATGTTCAGAGGACAAAAAAATAAATGGAGTTGGACATTATGTAGATGTAAGTGTACAAAATAAGACGCATTCAGTAGACGTTGATCAAAGAACATATACAGAAGGATTGAAGAGACACACACTAGTGGTACGTAACAGGTGGTAGTTACTCACTAAGAAAGAGGAAGAGCCAGTGTTCAAATTCACAAATTGTAGATGCTAGGAAAAATGAAATTGCAAAATCTGGGGAAAAGGGAGGAAAAACTTAGTTTAGAGGTACTGGTACAGGTAAAGATGTTGCAGACATGGTTGGTGAAGGTGCTAGTTGGACGGTAGCAGCCATGTCAAGTGGTGACAAAGAGACATTGAAGAGAAAACGAAGTAAAACATTCAGAATGAGGCAGAGAAAACGGCAGTTGTCTCCCAATAACAGCCATGAAGTCAACTGTAAAAGGAAAATGATTAATGTAGATGAGGGGAAAATGCCGCATAGTCAGAACTACATGGAATTAAGCAAAGTTCAGAAGAATGAATGGAGAAAGTTGTTTTAAAGGGAAGTTTTCACCAAGGCCATGATAGGTTTGGTGTGAACTCGGGTAAACAATGTGTTGCAAATAGTCTGTGTGCAGTATTGAAGAGTAAAGAAAGCACTAAAGGACTGGTATTATCAAGATATGGATAGTACACTGAATACTGGAAATGAATTATATAGCTACCTGTCTCGAAATTCTACAGTTCATCATGATTATTTGCTTGTCAATGATTACCAACCGAGTTGGACTTGCTGAATCATCATTTTAGTGTGGAGTTCCACAATCCTGTATGTGGTGCATTGGGAGATGAGTTCAATTTGCCCGAATTTAATATGATACCATTGAAACATGCACTGGAACAGAGTCTTCAGCAGTACTATGCCTGTTTTATTTACTTCCATGAAAACACATTTGCTGTGATTGCTCAAGATGGCATGTACATGTATTATGTGTTTGATTCCCATTCTAGAGATGAACAATGATGTATGACTAGTGAAGGGAGAAGTTTGCTGAAGCATGTTGCATCATGTCAAGAAGTTGAAAGGTATCGTCTGGATTTGGCAAGATCTATGCATTTGTCAAATAATGAGCAGTTTAAAATTACAGGTGTGTCTG